GAAGCCTCGTCTGAACCCAGCCTGACCGACGCTTTGCTTCGAATCAAAGGCAGATTCAAGTCGATTGTAGAGGAGGCGTGTCATAAGCTTGTAGACGAATGGAATGATTGCAATGGGCCTGTAGTTTTGTGTAACTTTGGGTCGCCGGACTTGTCAATGACCGTAAACGTTGTCTTCTTCCACTGCTCTGATGGTGGGTGGTCTGGTTTGATGATGTCGTTGTAGAGTTGGAGTAAATGTCGTTCCACAACATCTCCGCCTGCCTTCAAAAGCTCTGCTGTGATTCCCGCGGTGTCGCTGGATTTGCCGGTCTTTAACTGTTGAATGGCATGGCGAAGCTCTTCAGCTGTGAACGGTGGTATCTGGGAAGTCGCTGCGGTTGTCTCGTGGTCGATTCTGCTGCTTTTGGGGTCTTTGTACAGCTGCTCGTAGAACGTGGCAAAAATGTCCGCAATGCTCTGTCTGTCGGTGGCTTTTGTGCCGGTCGCTGTCGTCATCGATGCAATCAGTTCTTTGCGTTTGGATGATTTCACACCAGCAGTCTGTTTCAAATTCCTGAATTGACAAACAATCGATTGCAACTTGGGGTGTTCGCGTATACGCTTGATGAGTCGGAGTTGCTTCGATAAGAGCTTGCTGAGTGTAGTCCGGGTAGTTGCGTCTGTGTGTGGTGTGCTGCGGCGTTGCTCTATGAGTTCACATAATTTTCAGTCTGCGGCGCGAGTGTCTTCGCATGTATGGTGCTGGATTGGCGCGTCTTGGTATTCGTTGTAGTGTTTGTGAGCTTGTACAAGGACTTTGTCGATGATGTTGCTCTTCTCGTCGGTGCTGGTGTTGTTGCCACTGTCGATGAGCCTTTGCTGTAGACACTGCTGGTACACTCCTGGTACAGGGGGAGAAGGAGGAGGACTTGGAGGAGGAGGAGGAGGAGAAAGAGGAGGAGGAGGAGGCGGAAACGGAGGAGGGGGAGCACCAGAGAAAGAGCAGAGCGACGTATGGATGATGAGGAGGGCTGGATGAATAGAGTAGTAGGATGTAGGGCCGGAGACGGATGATGAGGACGGAAGAGGAAGGAGGAGGAAAGGGAGGCGGCGGTGAAAACGGAGTGAGGGGGATGCGAGGAGGCAGGAGGAGGAGGAGGAGGAGGAAGAGGAGGAGGAGGGGGAGGAGGATGAGGAGGAGGAATAGAGAGAGCACTGGTCGAACAATGCAGGGCTGACGCGCTGTGAGCACGGATGGCCGCACGGGGAGATTGAGTTGTGCCGCCCTCCCCTTCTCGGCGGCTAGCGAGGGGAGGAAGTGAGAAGTCGACGCTACTCGACGCGAAATCGACGCTACTCGACGCGAAATCGGTGCTATCGCGTTCGATTCCCGGACGCTAGTCGACGCTGACCGACGCTAAAGACGGAATTGAGAAGATACACCAAGCTCCCATGATTTGCTACCGAACCGTGGCTGGATTCGGAATCACCAGACGCGGGCCTCAAATGGGAACTGGAAGCGCAATCGAGCCAGGGCCAAGAGTCGGAAACGGATACGGGCCCGATGCGCCCGCCCAGGGTGTCGGGGCCTGAGCCAAAATCATGATTGAAATGGGGAACGCACTTGAAAACGGACACGAATCAGGAGGAAGAACGCATCAGGGCGAAGAATCGCTGATATTGAAACGAACCGCTGAGAACTACGTCTCGTAGCGTCGAATAGACCTGGAAACACATGTGCACATCATTTGAACAATTGGGCATCATAATGCCGTCGGAAACCTGCACGAATCGCTGCGGTAGAAAAAATGCGACCTAAAGAGAAGACGCCTAGAACAAACGAAGCGCCCTCGCCAAGACTCGTTGCCCGCAGATGGACCATGAATACGAATTGTGAATCCGCAGCTTTTGCCAAGCCTTCGGAACCAGCAGCGCGCCGCATGCAGACGCCGAGCTTTGCGCATAGACGCGCGCTGAGATGAGGAAGGCCGAGGGGTCCGACGGTCGACGGTCAGGCGGGGGGGGGCGTGGGAGGGGGAAACGGTGAGGGTGGGTCAGAGGAGAGCAAGGGCCCGGGGCCAAGGGAGAGGGCCTGGAGCGGGTGAGCGGGCCGTGCAGGCCCCGACGATCCCCAGCTTGAGCAGGGACCGACCATCCCGGCATCCCTATAGGCCTACCGCGAAACTTTCTTAGAACACAAACATGTTCTAAGAACAGAACAATGTTCTTTGAACATAAACCCGAGTGTTAAAACAAGACAGTCCCAGCCAGCAATGTTCTAAGAACAGTTCGTGAAAACCACAGAAGGTTCTGAGAACATTGCTTGGTGGGCCTGTAGGCCTCCTCCTCCTCCTCCTCCTCCTCCTCCTCCT